CCAAATCAGACTGTGAACATCACCTTCGTGTGGGCAATCTTGATCTCCCGGATGAGAATGCCCGCCAGCGTAGTGAACCCGAACATCTGCAAAGGATTCAGCAAGTTAGGAAGGCTCGAGCGGTGCGTGTGTCAAGCACATAAGTGAAGTCGCTTTGGATGCCTCTGTCCACGAATCGCGCCATCTAGCGCGAACAGAATCATCAAGTGACGAGACGACGTGCCACGACCCGGATTGGGTGGTAATTTGGCCATCCGCCATCTAAAATGAGCTGTGGTCGCCGATAGGACGAGCAGGCAGAAACGATGAATTCAACGCGTGATCGTCCTACCCTGCATTTTCGGAAAGAACTATAATATTGGCATGGTTTGGGCTCGTTCTACTCAAACGTACATCAGGCTTTGGAGACCTCCTCAGAACGATGGTGCGATGCCTAAGGTATTGCATGGCACCTGACAGTTGTCACGAAATTTCCCCCTTGATTTTTCGTTTGTCAAGGAAACAACAGTTTTGAATCAACAGCCGGGTCTGCTAGCAATTATCTCGAACATGCAGGAGCTAGATATTGTGTCAGCTGCTCACACCGTCTGCTTGAAGCATCTCACCGTACACAAGCACATTCCACCCGTGGCGAGGTGAACGACCGAGACGATTTTTCGCTTGTCGACGATCAAGGACATCACCGCTACAAGAATTGTGGACCCCATACCGGCCCAGCCGCCCCGCACGAGCAGATTCCGTTCCATTGCATACGTCTTCATCTTGGCCATAGCACTACCCGCCACGACCAGCTGCTCAGGGGGAGATGGGGTGGAGGAATTGCCCGAGAAGAAATGATTCGAACGGATGCTCGCGTTTCTCGGGAAGGTACAGACCTTCCATACAATGTTTGTGGCGGGTGTTGCGCTACAAGTTAGCACTGCAGGAGTGGTGAGAGGAACAGTTTGTGCATTGACAGCTGAGCCGCACGACCGCTAATCACCACTGGCACTTAATATACACGCTTTGACGTTTTGCCTCAGCCTGTTGCCTCCGCGTGACGTGTCGTATCTCTCTGTTGTAGCTACTGATGCTGTTGTTCTTACGCTGAAACTCGTTCTGGCCTCTGTATCTGGCACCTCCTCCGTCCTCATGCAACCGGGTGTTCATGGCCATAGCCTTTCCCCATCTGAGACCCGAACAAGACTGAGACGACCCAGAAAATGTCCGGTCGCTCGACAATCATCCTCAAACGATTCATGCGCGGCACTACGAAAACGAAACACAATATTAAGAGATCTACAAGTTTGCCGCTCATAATCGAAAGTTAAGTACTACAGACGATGAAATGTACCACAAATGATAGGGCGGATCGCTGTGAAAAACAACCGAACAAGAATACCCCGTACCCATTCGAAGCCCCGGTTTTTTTCACGATCGGGTTAACCGGCGACCATGACAACCCCTTTCGTAGCCAAAATTAAGCATTTACACCGTTTGGCGGTGACTGGTCTCACGGATTGATTTTGGTTGCTAAAATTGCAGGTCATGGGGGCCAAATGGCCCAACATTTTCTTTGCAAGGAGCGTCGCTTCCCTCAACAGCACGATCGTCCATCTACTGTTATCTTCGCGGCATGTATGCTCAACATCAACCACATGCAGTTCAGAATATCCAGAGTGTGAGACTTCAAGCTTTTCCATCGCCAATTAGTTTTTCAAGACTCTCTACAAGTAGGTTACCAAGAAGAAACCGCGTCAGGCGTTCAGCCTGGAATTCCTAACCCTAACCCTAACACCCCTAGCACTAGCCCCGCTTTGCCAGCACACAAAATCGGTGGGTTCAAATTCCAGGCTGAATGAACACTCGAGGTTTTCCTGAGACCCTGGAAACTCTTGGATATAGTATCGGTGGCGAAATATCTCTACGTCTGAGACCCTGGGCTTTGTGACCTGAACGTGGGTGATGTCTTGAGAAGAATGGCAACGAAATGGCCCCACCAGATGATCATTAGTGCTGGTGAGGGGAGCGACCCTCCTCGAAAGGAAAAGCGTCTGCTCATTTGGACCCCACGCTTTACATATTTAGCAACCGAAAGCTATTGGGCTAGGCAACTAGAGTCGGTTGCCCCAACGGTTTGATTGCACTAGCTATTTCCTCCCAATCCACCATGGGAGAAAATAACATAATGTGCGCTCTTTCCTCGCCATATTTTCACGTGCCCCTACTGATTCAGAAAGCTCGCTGTCCCAGGTATCCACCAGGTAAACATACACACATTCCCGGATGTTGGGGGGCACACGGCCTGTTTTCGCCGGGTTGTCACAACTGAACATAGAATTGGGACCTATGACATATTGTCCTTAATTTTCCCAACCCCCCTTTGCGCTCCGCAGCTCCTCTATTCAGATTCGCCTGCAGCTCACTATGTAGGAACTCGGTTCCCGGGCGTACTGTAGTCGGCTATTTAGTCTTACGTTGCGACCTTGCTCAAGGATGCCCCGTCCCATGTGCAGCCAGGAGTTACTTTGCTTGCCATAGAGATCATTCACCTGTGAGGGCACTGATTCCAGCCAGATTTCCGTGAAGCTGCCGCAGACAACCGGAAGAGGGGAGATGCTCATGGCCATGGCGACCCAAAACATTCCGCCGTCCCATATCGCCGCATGGCCCTCACAGACCGCAGCAACGCCAAACCCGATCGTCGTTCCAAGCGAGGAACAGCTTCTCGGCAGATACGGGGTGCGTGCCACGGTGGGACGGGGTTCGATCGGAGTCAATTGTCTCACTGTCAAAGGGGCAAAGCACGCGTGAGGCGAATGTGGTCACTGTAGGTGGTCCGGCCCGTGGGAGTGCTTGTCGCGATCGGCTTTAGAACTACGTACCATCGCAGCCAAAACGTTCTAGGATGACGAGGAATGTGCGGTACAGTAGTTTGCCCGCCGGTGGAGGGTACGTCCAGACAAAATTGCACGCACAAAATTGGCAAAAATTTCCGAAAAGAGGCTCAGATTTTGTCGGCATGACGTGGCGACTGCCTCCTGCTGATTGGCCGAAAGGTTCGCGCGCGACGTTCCGACGCCGCTTCTTCGCTTGCCTACACAAGAACGAAATTTTTTTGTTATTGCGTGGTTGGCTGCAGCTATCTACCATCCAAGGTGCCAGGAGCATCATCTAGCAGGGGTGGGCGTTGTCACCGCAGAGAAACACCCTGAAAAGACTTCTTGCAAGCAAACTCTCAGCCGTTCAGGTGGCTTGTTTCAATCAAGCGAAAGAGGGAGGCGGCGGTTCAACAGCAGGTAGCTGAGCAGCAGCAGCAGCAGCTTCAGCCTGGAAGAATCGCCCTTACACTATCTATTTCCTGCATTCCAAACCGCAACATCTGTCTAGAGGAGGTGGCGCCGATAGAGAGTAACACGAGGCAACTTTTGGGCCACCTCCCGGCAGTTCGAGTGACCTACAGCTCATGGTCTTAGAGTTCTCCCGAATTGGTTGTACGCAGACGATTTTGGCGGCTGGTGAACCTTGTCTCATCGCACCCTTCCTTCCTTGCCCGTTCCACAAAATGTTGACACACACCACCCGCATCGGAGGAGCAGGCTTGTCCAGTGGTGGTGATATGAGCCTCGGACGAGTGAGTCGATTTCATCTTTTGTGGTTAACTGGTATGTACTCTGTTTCCGCTGAAAGCCTGAGGCAGCTGAACACAAACCCATGCCTCAGATATTTTGAAGGTGGTGAAGGGTGTTTATCTCAGCGGTGGGGAGAAAGTGGGGCCGTCTCGGACAAAACAAATCGTTACCGGCTATAATATTAAAAAATCTGACCCTCGGTTTGTCAGAGCCATTTGTCTGACCCAAAAATAAACTTCCGAAACGGTCTAATGATTCAGGTTCGCTACTTACTGTAGCCGACAACATCGGACCAGGCGAATTGTGCCAGAAATGGAACTCCAAGCAAGCGTATTGAGAACCTACATTTACGGGTTGAGAGACCCGCGACTACCACAGATGGAACTGCGACCCATCGCAACGAAAAAACTCAGCATTCGCACCAACTGCTGAATTTCTACACGAGTTATAGTCGGCCGCAAGAGCGGAGCACAAGTGCCGTCTCTTGAGATTCTGCCCGGGATGCGAAGCTATGTAGCTGCGGTACTGGTTGCAACCACGGCAACAACGAGAAAATACCTGCTCGCAGCGATCAGTCGGCGACGCGAGACACCTCGATGCGTTGCCCTAGCCGCTGCCGACATGTAGCTGGACTGAACCAGATGCCACATGCAGATCACGAACGCAGTAGCCGCCACCACGCTAACGCTGAGATAGAAATTAACAAGTACCTGGTTTAGAACGAGAGGTATTGGGTGGGCAGCGGGCGGAGCTTTACGTACGCGGCATGCGTCGATGTTCAATCGATGAGGCCTTCAGCCTCCCGGCGTGTACGGCTGTAGACTACACATACATACGTACATGCGCACCTGCTTCGGGACGCAACTGGGGTTCCCGAAGGAATCTCTCGAGACGAAGCCAGCATCGCACTCGCATGTGTCGTCAACGCTACGATCTTCGGCTACGATACACCTTCCAGATCCACCCCATAGGGGATGCCGGCACTCGAAAACTCAACGCTCTCCCGACATCAAGTTGCTCCTGGGCAGTAGAGACAACAGATCATGTATACCAGTGATTAGGAAACATAAATACAAACACAGAAAGACTACACGCTGGGCCAGCCAAGAAGATAACATTCAGTCGTCCAGCCGTAACTCTTGAAGGAATCAGAATTGGAACGAGCTCAATCAGCCAATCACAGCGGAAGTGCAGCTGTCTCTCAAAAACACCGTCGACACGTTCTGTCAAACGAAGAAAACCCTCCGCATTTAATCTATGTTTTAGAGTTGCGAAAAAAAAATTGAAACGCTTTTTTTTTGCGGCGGAAATAATTTTTTTAAAAAACACGGCACAGACCGCACAACGGATAACACACACAGCACCCGCTAGCACCGTGTAGCGGACAGCATGGAGGCCGCCCTTGCAGCACTCAAAACCAACGAGTGGCAGAAGACCTCCGCCCCATGCTACTATCTAGATCGGGGTAGAGGCAAGTGGCGGCTTTGGCTCAACTTTACAACCCGGAAAGGAGCCACTCGACAGAAGAAGCATGGGCCCTTGTGCGACACAGAGGAGGACGCCCGTGCGGCCAGCCTTGCCTTCAGGCTTAGCTGGGAGGCCAGCCAACGTGGGAAGCCCTGCCACCCCAGCAAGGAGGATATAGACTCAGCATCTGTCGCGGTGGACACTACGCTTCCAGCAGGCAAGTGGTGAACGGCGGGTACATGTGCGAACACATGGTAGATCATGATCGTGCAATTTTGAATTTTCTGGGGCAGCAGCAACGGCAGCACACACGTGACAATGCAAGCGATTGCTGTACAACCTACCTTGTGCGCAGCCACAGTGCCGCGGACGGGACTTACACGTCTTGTATGTTCTTTCAGGAAAGTGAAGTAGGTGGCACTACAAGTACAATAGAGGTGGTCGCGTCTGTTGAATTGCACGAAGTGCACGACTAAAAATATTTTCGTCACCCAGGATATTTGATTTTTCAACGGTATTTCTTCGCATGCACAAGTGTAATCATACGACATGATATCCACGCCCACATGCGTCGCCCTCATTACGCGTCTATTGTTGGGGTACTAGAGGCGCCTGCAGCAGTAGGTACAGCAATTTTCGCTCAAGTTTGTTGCCTGTATGCCCCGTTGTGTTCTGCTGCAACGATGTGCTACTGTATACGACACAAGATAACACACCCCCTGGACCGATTTTGACAGCTCGATTAGTCAACAGCATCTGCATGAAAAAAAAACGACATCGTCACACATCGGCTAACAGCGGTAGGCACTGCTTGTGCCGTTACCTCTGCATATTGTTTAATGTTTATGGGGTGGTCTCCAACTCCAAAGTGAATAACAACCAAGATGTGCCGCCCTGCCGCGTGCTTGCGACTCCCCACCGCTGCTCGCGCAGGGAAATCGCCCAACAGCATTGGGATCCTCAATTCCTCACAGCAGCCCAGGTTCAAGCGACAGCGGCTGTCCGGCTCCCACGCGACCCGCGCGCAATTCGCGACGCAGCAGCACATGTTCACCAGCCGCCAAGAGCGCTCGATGAAGCGGGGTTGGAGCAGGAGAGAGACGAAGCTACGCAAGGACTTCGACAAGCGTGGTGGCTACCTCCGCGGCCGGATTAAAGACTTGACGGAGAAAACCAGAACCAACACACAACACGTGCAGCGTCTCGAGACTGCCCTCGGGGAGAACAAACTCGCCAGCCTTCTCATCCCCGTTCCCCCCTCTCCCGTGGAAGACGGTGAGGACGCGGGGGCCGGCTTGAAGGGAAATGTATCCGAGAAGCAGATTAACCGTTTGTGGCAGCAAGGGTACTGCACGTTGAAGGTGCTGGTCGCGGAGCTGGCCCGCGACACCAAGCAACTGGTCCTCACGGTAGAGGCGAACGAAGTTCTTGCGGGCAGTAAGGGTGTAACGGATGCCGCCGTGAGGGAAGGCGAAGCCAAACGGTTTGAGCTGCTGAACGAGGCATCGCTTGTTCGATACGATGCTTCGCTCCTACGGATCGCGGCCAACGTCGTACAAACTGGCTCGCACCCTTATGCGGTATCTACGATCCTGAGGTGGCTCAGAGACTTTCGGAAGCAAGGTGGTTTCAGGCGGGATTCAAGGGGTGTGCACGAGCCGGACTGGATCATGTCCGAGGAGGATCTGAAGGGTCAGCTTCTGACGTGGATGAGAACCCAGCAGCGTCTCACCGTCAAGGACGTCTGGAAGTTCATCAACGGATCTCTGTTCGAAGACGACGCCAAGGATCTTGCCAGGCTCCTTTCGTACCAGGTGACCCTTCCGATCTCCATGTCCACGGCGCACTCGTGGATGATAAAGTTGGGTTGCAAGTACGAGCGGGCCACGAAGTCGTTCTACACGGACACTCACGAGAAGAAGGACGTTGTCGAGTACCGCGGCGAGTACATCGGGATGAGACGCAAGCTTGCTCTGCGTCAAGCGTTGTGGGTGCAAGTTCAACGAGCGTCCCTGAAGCAGGAGGAGCTGAAGCGACTCGACCGTATCAAGGCTGAAGAGATGCATGTGGAAAAGGTTCTGCAAGCCTTGCCTGACTTCAAGAACGAGAGGACAGCCCTGCAGCACCTCGTAGAGAGTAGGGGACACATCCTTTTGTTGTCTCCGAAGTGTCACCCAGAGGTAGCGGGGGTAGGGATCGAGTACTCGTGGGGTTTTTCCAAGCAGAAATTTCGGCGGAAGATCAATGATGAGGTCCCGAAACACTTGCACGCGAACATCGAAAAGTCGCTGTGCACGGAGAAGTACTTGACGGTCGGTCGGGTGCGGCGCTTTGCCCGGCGGACACGAGATTACTGCCGGGCTTACCGCGACATTTCGCTGAGAGGGGTAGTCATCGAGAGCAAGGATTTCATCGAGAAGATGCGCAAGAACCAAAAGGCCCACCGCAACATTTTGGACATGGAAACTAGTTTTCTTGGCAACCAGTAACAACGTCGGCCGGCCGATGCCAAGGGGGGAGTCTCGAGTTGGGTGCGTCTTGTAGATAATGTTTGTTTTTTGCATGTTATTCGGCTGTACGTGTACAATAGGTGTTTGGTACTCCTAGAGTTCGACCGCTGATAAGAAACGCAGCTTGATTTTTTTTGTTCATTGCACAAGGGATCGACAAGTTTTGTACAAAGTACTACAGCAGTACATTGACTTGTACTAATAATGCAATTCTGCAGGGGGTGACCTCAGATTTTTACCTTGTTCTGTAATGTCACATCATCATGATCTACATGTACCCGTACCCCTCCTCTACGGGGTCTAAGTCGGCGTGTGTGCCGCTGTTGCCATCGGTTCGCTTTCGCACCCGGTTCGTGGGCTGTGAGCCATTCATTTTCCTATATATATTTTCGTCCTTGCGCCCAGGTGTAGAGGCCAGTAAGCAATTTTCTATTTACACCACGATTGTCACGAGTTAGAATCTGAAATTATGACACGTGGTCGGTGTTAGTATAACGAAGACCTTGACTGGCC